CTAGATGACAATGGTCCCTAAGTTATTGGTTTTCTTTTGTCCCACACCAAGTGGCTCTTCTGACATGAGACAGTCTTTTAACCCTTCTCTTTTAGCAACATATTTGGTTTTAGAGGAGAGAGCCACATTACAACTCCAAAGCCAACTTGGTTTATAATTGAATCAGGACCATAACTATTCTAGAGTTCAAGAGATATTGATGTTAGGCAGTGAAATATTACCCTGAAGAGTATATTGGTACCAATAGGTTCTTTCCTTCTGTTGTATACGTTTGGGTATTCAAGGCCTTATGATTTCAGGAAGATGTGTATTTCTATTATCCTGTAAAGATAGAAAACAGAACCCTGCCCCAACCTTTGTTAAATTTTTCTTACAATTTGTAGAGATGTCACATTGGTGGATGAGTTTTTATTTTTCCTCATTGAGGGGTTTCTCCTGTTCAAATAAAATTTTTATTAATTTTGTTAATATCCGTAGCTTTTCTTCTCCTGCAAAAACAGAAGCAAAACCTCTTCCCAACCATAGGACATATCTTGGTTCCCATTCTGAGGTCAACACATCTTTGAAATAAACCAGTTGGTTTAGCTCAAAAGTTTTTTCTGTTGTCCAATGTCTCTCTGCAGCTGTTGTTTCTTCCTCATCAGCATTAAGAAAATTCAGGGTTAAAAAATCATTATGTAATATATTTCTAGGAGTCAGTGTTATCTGTTGCTGTTTATTTAGCATATCCTTTAAAGTTTGATTGAATCTTTCTATGACTGCTTGGCCTGTGTGATTGTATGATATATCTGTAACATGCTTTATATTGTAATAAGTAAGAAAAAAAAACTGTCTCATTTTATTTGAGACATATGCTGGGGCATTGTCAGTCTTAATTTGTACAGGTATTCCCAGGATGGCCATAACTTTTAATAGGTGTGTATTCACAGAATCAGCCTTTTCAGAACTCATAGGAGTTGCCCATTGAAATCCTGAATAGTTGTCAATGGTATGGTGTACATATTTTAATATTCCAAATTCTGTGAAATGAAACACATCCATCTACCAAATTTCATTTCTTTGCATACCTTTTGGATTGCTTCCTGTGGGTAATGGAGTTTGGTTAAAGAAGGGACAAGTGGGACATTTTCTTACAATTTCCTTGGCTTGTTGCCAAGTGATGGAGAAATCCTTCAAACCTTTGCTATTTACATGGTGTTTCTTATGAAATTCTGAGGCTTCTATTACATTACCTATTAGTAACTGATTATTCTCATCATTACCTTGTGCTAGAGGTCCTGGCAGATCCATATGGGATCTGATGTGTGTTATATATATAGGATGTTCCCTATTTCTGATGATTTTCTGCAATTGTATGAATAATGAAGTTAATTCTGTATTATCAGGAATAAATTCAGCAATTTCAATATGTAAAACAACTCACTCTGTATATTGAGAGTCAGTTGACTATATTGAGGGGTTCTGTGAAGTCCATCAGTACCATAAGAATGGCATACAGTTCTGTCTTTTGTACAGAGTTGTATGGACTTTGTACCACTTTACTTAAGTCTCCTGATTTATATCCTGCTTTCCCTGTTTTATTTGCATCAGTATAGAATGTGAGGACTCCAGAAATTGGCTTTTGACATACAATATGAGTAAGGGCCCATTCAGTCTTCTTTATGAATTCTATTCTCTTGCTTTTGGGATAATGATTGTTAATCTCTCCCAAAAAGTCATTGGAGGCTCTCTGCCAGTATTCATTATCTTCCCATAGTAAGAAAATTTCCTCATTAGTAAAAGGTACTACAATTTCTGCTGGGTTCATTCCTGTCAACTGGCAAGTCTTAATTTTCCTTTTTGAATCAAATCAGAGATTGTTTCTACATAAATCTTTAACTTCTTACTTGGTTTACATGGTAGAAATATCCATTATAATATAATATCTTCCCTCTGCATCAAAATCCCTGTGGGAGAGTGTCTGGAGGGGAGTATGACCAGAATGCATTTAAGTTCTGGATTCACACAATCCACATGCACTTCTCATATTGACTTTTATTAGAGCCAATTTCTTCTCAGCTTCAGCTGATAATTCTCTTGGACTATTTAAGTCCTTGTCCCCTTCTAGAGTATTAGCCAAATTTTTTAGTCCATCTTTAGGTATTTCAATGATACCCTGTAAGTTGTAAATGCTTCCTAACAATCTGCAATCGATCTCTCCTGAGTTGTACCTTTGGGGTATAATTTTTTTGTAGCTTTATCTTATATCCTAAGTAATTAATAGAATCTCCTCTTTGTGTTTTTTTTTCAGGAGCAATTTGTAGTCCCCAGTGAGGCAAAAGTTTCTTTATTTCTTCAAACATGCATTCAAAGTTACCTAACTTTGGATCAGCTAATAAGATACCATCCATATAATGATAAATTATGGATTATGGAAATTTCACATGAATTATCTCCAATGGTTTTTACATAAAATATTGGCACAGGGTAGGGCTGTTTAACATTCCCTGTGGGAGGACTTCCATTGATATCTCTTGACTGGCTGGGAATTGTTATAATTAGGCATTGCGAAGGCAAATTTTTCTCTACCATTTTCTTATAAAGCTATGGTAAAGAAACAGTCTTTTAAGTCAATAACTATTATAGGTCATTCTTTGGGTAGCAGAGAAGGCAAGGGCATCCCAGTCTGTAGGGAGCCCATAGGCTGAATTACCTTATTAGTAGCTCTCAGATCTGTCAGCATTCTCCAATTAACAGACTTTTTTCTAATAACAAATACAGGAAAATTGCAAGGGCTGGTAGATTCTTCAATGTGTTGAGCATTTAACTGCTCTTGAACCAGCTGTTCTAAAGCTTGTAGTTTTTTTTTTTTTTTTTTTGTCAAAGGCCATTGTCCAATTCAGACAGGTTTGTTAGTTAGCCATTTTAAAGGTAAGGCTGTTGGTACTTCTGAGAGTTTAACAGAGTTGTGCTCTGTTTATGTACAGCCTGAATGGTTGGTGACTGTTTTTTATATTATGTTGTAATATTATTCCTAGCAACATGCATTGGTCTGTATTCCCTTTCTGAGACTGTAGGAATTTTAATCTGAGTGTTCCAGTGCTGTAACAGATCTCATCCCCAAAGATTCACTGTTACATTTGCCATATATGGCTTCAACCTTCCTCTCTGTCCTTCTAGCCCTATGCATTTAAACATCTTGAACTCTGTTTTACCTGAGATAGGGTTCCAATCCTTAGAAATTGGACATCTACCTCTTGAAGTGGCCAATTCAGATGCCATGATTTTGGTGTAATTATACTCACATCTGCACCTATGTCTACCAGGCCCTCCAGAACAATGACATTCATTTGAATTCTAAGGTTTGGTCTTTGTTCATTTATGGAAGTCTGCCAAAATATTCATTTTATTGTGTTCTTTGAAACTTTTGATTCATCTATCAGAGCTGTTCTATCATCCAGTGTAGTATCGTTCTTTTCATTAGACATTGGGTTATTTAATTGTCCTGGAGAGGAATTTCCTCCACTGTGGCTAGAAATGTTTGGACCACATTCAGTTTGGGGGCCTGCAAGAGGCCCCTTGAGGCATTTCCCACTGTTAAAGGGTTGCCTTGTATATCTGTTGCTGATCTGCACTCATTGGTCTAATGCCGGCCTTTGCCTCATCTTCTACATAATCTAGAAGATTGGGGTCTCTCATTTGGGTTATTTGTAGAAGGAGTATTGCTTCTCGGAGCACCCTGTATACAGTTCCTACTTATATGACCTGGTGTTCAGGGGTGAAGCACAGACAACCACCCCTACAATGAGGTTCAAATAGGAGGAGGTAAATTTATAAATGAGAGTTCTGGAGATGAATTGTCTATGAATGAGCTATCCTAATGTTGCATACTAACTCCTGAAGAAAGAGATGCCAGATATTTAGTTCAAGAGCAGAGACAGTATTGCATTTTACAATTTAAAAGTTATATTTTTTGTGGGGTGTTAGAGAGATGGCTCAGCGCCTAAGAACACCTGCTGCTCTTTTAAAGGATCTGAGTTCAGTTCCCAGTACCCAAATGCCAGCTCATAACCATCTGTTAATCCAGTTAGGAGGCTCTAATGCCCCCTTCTCGCCTCTATAGGCACAAGGCATGCTTGTGGTACATATATATACATGTAGGCAAAATACTTATATACATAAAATAAAAATAAATAATTTTTAAGTTATCATTTGGAGGTAGGGAATGTGCCTAAAATAGTAGATTTTTGGCCTAGCTTACTTACAAGGCCATAGGTCCACCTCCAAGCACTGCATAAATTCAGAATGATGGAAATACCTGTAAACCCAGCACTGGGGAAGTGGAGGCAGAAAATAAGAATTCCTAGATCATCCTTCACTACATGTTGAGTTTGAAGCCATCCTGAAATATATGATACCCTGACTCCAAAAAAAAGGAAGAGGAGGGGAAGGGATCTACCTTGCTTTTTAAAAAAGATTTATTATTTTATTTTATTTTATGCATATGAGTGTTTTGCCTCATGCATGTACATATACCAAGAGTATCCCAGGTTCCCACAGAGTTCAAAAGAAGGTACAAGATCTTCTGGAATAAGAGTTACAGATGGGTGTGAGCTGCCATGTGGGTTCTGGAAACTGAACCTGGGTCTCCTTCAAGAACAGCAGGTGCTCTTATCCATGAAGCCATTGCTTTTGTCCCATCATATATATGTTTGTGTGTGTGTGTGTGTGTGTGTGTGTGTGTATGTGTGTATACATACATACACACATACATACATACATACATACATACATATATACATGTATTTTTAAAAGAAACCTGTTATCCTTGTTTTTCTTAAACTACCTTTTACTCAATGAAGTATGACTTAGCACATGTGATTTATTATTTTACAAATGGAGAAACCTGGACCCAAAAGAAGTATATGACTCATTGTCCAAGGTCCCACAATCATTTCAAGAGAACACCCAGATTTAAAGGCTGATTACAAACTCCTAAGCCAATGATCCTTCTGTTCTAGTGATGGACACAGCCAAGAAGAGATAGGCAAGAACAAGAGCAGCAGCTGCAACTGGAGTTTAACATGAGGCAACACCATGCTGCCTTCCAACGCATCCCTTGGGTTACACTAAACTAACCTGTGTCGCAAGCTGGCTTCAGATCACAGGTAAATCTGTAACAGGTTGCACTTTAATGACAAAAATGTGCGTGAGAAGAGTTCTGACTCTGGCCAACCCTAGCTCTCATTTGGAATTAAGGCATGCTATTTTTAAGATGCTACAATTCAAGCTCGAATTCTTCATCTTTGCTTGGCCTCTCATCCTGGGCTCTCCTGGGTTTGGAGCACACCTCTGCCAAGCTCATTGCCCACGGATCACTCTTCCTTCCTGTAGGTAGGCTCCTCCCCTCCTTGCCCCCATACACCCAGCTGCTGGCAGCGTTTCATCTCCAGTGGCCAGGCTCAGTTCAGACATCCACCCTTCCTGGAATCACATTCATCCCCACCCTGCGACCTTTCCTACTGCCAGCCTTTATGTTAGCTTACTAGCTCACTTCTAAGAAGTCATTTAAAGACGTGGTTTCCTGTTGTCTAGAGAATCAAGACAGCATTAAGTCATTTCCTTTGGAAAATGTACACTATTTGATTTTGTGCATCACCTTTATAGCAGGAGTATAATTAAGATGCCAAGAAGTTAAATGATTTATGAAAATACTTTGAATAAGAAATATGCACAATATGAAATATGAGGGCTTTCTTCCAAGTTTTTTCTCTCTTTTTCTTTTTAGCAGATGATTTTATTGATTGTAGATAGGAAGGTTTGAATAAACTGAGAAGTAAATCCAGCAAAAATCTCTTTGTTAAGGACACCATTTTCCATACCAGAACATATATAGTGGAATCACCATGAATTTATGAATTGCTTCAAATCCTGATGAGGTGTCACCTTTAAGCTTCAAACCTTACTTTGAAATAATTCATATGTTTATCCAACACATATTTGAATCCTTCTCATCAGGCAGCATGTTGGATCTGGAAAACAAACGTGTGTGGAAATCAGACCAGTGTTACCCTGTGGAGCTCAGAACCCACTGATTTCATAGCTGTGTGATGTTTTCTCTGCTCCTAAAAATCCAGAGCTGATTTCTAAGCTCTACGTTTTTTCTAATTTATTGAAAATGTTTGGTCATTTCAATGACCTTAAACAGGTTTGGCAGAAAGCAGGGGAACAGGAAATACCCCAACAATCCATTTCTGTAGCATTAAGGCATATCAAATGTAGGCCAATGGCTCAGATACCAAAAATAAGTGAGCTCTTGGATACTTTGACTTTATATTTAGAAATAGTTTCAAATTTATGAAAAACTCAAAAAAAAAAAAAAAAAAAAAAAAAAAAAAAAAAAAAACCTCTCTACCCACGACTCAGTTTGCCAGTGACTCCCGTGTGTCCCATTTGGGTTACTGTTTGGCTACCAACAAGCATGGAACCTTTGCCAGCTGTTTGAGAGCATGCTGCATACACAGGGCCTCCCCACATAAATGTGTTCCCTAAGAACTAAGAGACATAGGTACGGCAAGACGGTCTGGTCTTCACCACAGTTAATGTCAACAAATCTACCCCCTCTACTATCTACATTCTTCTATTTCACTTTTCCAACTGCCCCATATCCACTCTCTCTCTCCCCTTCCTATCCCCCCTCCTTCTCTCTTAGATAGACTCTCAGGGAACTTTGAGCTTGGGATTAGAGGCCTGCACTGCCACCCTTGGCCTCCCTGGCTCTCTTTACAGGGTTTCCTAGGCTCTGGTGCTGTCACTGATCTCGACTGCCTGTGCTCTGGAGGACTCTCACACCCTCTGCTTATCTTCAATGACAGTGCATTTCTGCTGCCCCAGTTTTAAGGAGCGCTGCCCTCACTTGAAGTTCGTTTCTCTCCCTTGAACAAGTGCAGCTTTGTCCGTGCCAGGGCATCATCCCTGGGGACTTTCAAGTCCTTTCTTGATGATTCTCATTAGAGCTCAAGCCAAGGCATTTGCCCACCACATAGCATTAGTGCACTCCTCTGCAGCAAGTCAAAAGACTAAGAGGAAATGCTCAAAGATCATGTCCAGATGTCAAGGAAAACTTGCCCTTGGCCTTAGCATCCTTCAGTGGTTTCTTCCTGCGTCAGTGCTCAGGCAGTGACTACTCTCTGTTCCTCAGTATTTATCACTCCTTTGGGCAAGAGTCCTCCTTTCCTTCATGATAATTTTATCATCCCTATGGATTTAATATTCATATTTTCCCTGGTGGTTCACAATTCATTACAGGACTTCATTGTTTAGATATTCAGTTTGTGCCAGATTTGATCATGGAACCCCTTGGTGTCTCCCCACAGTGTCCTTTTCAATGTGTTCCATCTTTTATAACAACTTAGTTGGCAGCATGATAATGCACTACTTACTGATGCTGTCCCTGCACTGCCCAATGCGGAAACCAGCCACTTCTCTGAGGACCCCTGGCTACCTCTATGAGGAAGGTGCTGAAGACCATGAACTGCGGTTACAGCTGTGCCGTTTTGACCTTTGGGCACTTCCAACACCAATGCCCAACAATTTTTGGTAGGAGTGAGCTAATCAGAGCATTTCCATCAGAGATGAACTTTCAGGAGGTCAGTTTTATCTCAACCAGAATTATAAAACACAATTCTGTTTTCGCCCTGGAACAAAGAGTACAGGAGTTGAAGCCAAGAGAAGGAAATCGATAGACACAGTGAAAGAATATGGTGACTCACTGTGCCAAGGGTATCTCTCCACACGCAGAGCCGCTACATCCCAGAGGCCCTGGGGACAAAGGTTTCAAAGTTGGATCCCAGCCCAGCTGACTTGGTTCTCATCTCTCGCCTCAGTGTGGGCAGTAAGACACTAGATTGGTGTAACTAAAACTTTGTGCCTCATCCTGTCTGGGACACCTGTGGAACCTTGTCTTTGTGTGGATAAAATACAATCAGTGACACTCCAGAATGCTCCACAGCCTGGGCACCTCCCCAAGGGTAACTCTATTGGAGTGCTCGTACCAACAGCACAAGCCCACTTTGCCAATTTAAAAACAAAATGAACAAAGAGAAATGTTTTGGTGGATCCGGGAGGCGACTCAGTCAGAAAAGTGCCTGCTATACAAACCCAGTGACCTGGGTGTGACCCCCAGAACTCTTCCTAAAGAAGAAAGAGGGTGGCACATGGAGGTGCACAATCGTAATTTCTATACTGAGCTGGATCCCTGGTTCACTGGTCATCCAGCCTGCCCTACGTGATGAGTTCCACACAGTGAGAGACCCTGTCTCAAAACAAGATGTGAGTTTCAGACCTGTGAGAGAGATAAAAAGAGACCCTGTCTCAAAGAAATAAAGAGAAAGCAAAATACACACACAAAAAAACAAGGTGAATGGTGCCTGAGGAACAATTTCCAAGGTTGATCTCTAACCTCCACATACAACACCACCAACACACACAAACATACAGTGAGCACACATGCATGCATATATGCACACACATGCACTTTGACTCTGAAACTTTTCAGATGTAAAAACATGGAAGAACCTCATGTGACCATGGCTGACATTCTTACTTCATCCCCGCTCTGGTTCTCCAACACTCTGAGAAAGAAGTTTTCCAAGCAAACTATAAACACACTTCATCATTCACCTCTAACAGTTACCAGTCATATCTAATAAACTTCAAGAAATGATATAATTGTCTAACATCACCTAACAGTATATACATAGTATAAACTGGTGCTTAATTTTCTCCAAATATGTTACAAATACTTTTTTATACTTGCTTAAGTGAAGACGGAAATAAATAAGACTTATGCAGTACACTTAAGAATTCTGTTTTGTTTTGGTTTTTTGAGGCAGGGTCTCTCTGTGTAGCCCTAGCTGTTCTGGAACTTGCTCTGTAGACCAGACTGGCGTTAAACTCGGAGCTCCAACTGCCTCTGACACCCAATTGCAACTATTTGTTTCTTTTCTTTTAATGTTCTGTACTTTTTGGAGAACCTGGGTGGCATTATAGGACTTTCTACATGGTGACACTCAGTCTTAACCTGTGAGGACCTTTTGGCACATGAAAAAGTATCCGCTGACTCGGAGAGTGACAGAGGTGGTAGTGACTCAGCAGGAACTATGGGAGGAAGGACACACTCCCAGGTGCCATGTAGCAGGGGACAGAAGTCCAAAGGAAACCGAGAAGAGGGGAGGCAGACTGCACTTCTAATCAGGAAGAGCACTTTTGGGACTTTGACCGGAAGTCACCTCACCAAGGAGCAGGTAGGCTGGGCACCAACCAATGAGTTTGTTCTGTTTGTCACAGAGAACCGAAGACCTGGTTTCCAAACTTGGGGAAGGTGATTACAGAGTGTCTCCACAGGTTTTCAGCATCTGCCTCTGTGACACTCCCTTTGGTGAACTGTGCTTTGGTGGGTGATCATCTCGCCAGAGGGTACCCACACTTTCATTATTCCTACCACGGACAAATTCTTAGCTCATTTTATAATCTTTCAAACAAAACAAAAAAGCGCTCCTGAAAATCATTTGCTTTATGATGGTTGTTTTTGTTTCAATTTACACCTTTACCCTAATCTTATTTTCATGTCTGCATGGAGAAAGAGTGAAAGTAAGATTTACAGAAGAAAAGGAAAAAGCCCAGAGGCAAAAGGTAGATGGGATAATTTAAAGATAAGAAAAGCTGGCTAGAAATAAGCCAAGCTAAGGCTGGGCATTTATAAGTAATAATAAGCCTCTGTGTGTAATTTATTTGGAAGCTGGGCAGTGGGCCCCCAAAGAATAAAGAATAAAAACAACCATGGCAGTGACCTCTTTCCAAATAAATGTTAGGGCTTAAGACTTCACTGTCTTTGGAGCATGGTATAATTCACCTTTCATAAATAGGTTCAATATAACCTAAGCACCCCACACAGGTCCAAATAAAGATAGTCTGCCAAACTCCTTTTCCATCTGTACTTAAGTGGCACTCTCCTTGGAACTGGCATAACAAAGTTTCAGTGCCTGGCCTGCCCAGGATGAATGTATGAGCTCATGTCCTATAATCCAGGTTAGGAGAACTTGAGGGGAGGTTGTTAATAAATAGCATATACATATAAATAGCAAATAAAATAAATGAGGATGCAAACCAAACACCATGAAGCTTGCAACCTAAGATGCAGAATAGGGAGCCGAGATGTAAGATCTGGAGCCCCTGGACTCAGACAGCAACACCTACTGCAGGGTAGATGCTGGCAGGTTACTCGGCTTTTCTGAAATGAGGTAGCACACCGGACCTGACCAACCGATTGAACCCTTCTGAACCGGAGGGTTCACTGATACAGGATTAACCCTTCTATCAAAGGTCTACAGGGTAGTGCAGGATAGGATCAAATAATTAACCACCACACTGATAAAGAAAGAGCAATAGAAACCCTAAGACAGTAATCCTTCACGAAAGCTCCTGTAAGTCAGTCTTGTAAATGCATGAGGTTCCAAAGCTAGACTTGGAAGCTCTCGGGGTGTGGGGTTTTTAAAGGGAAAAACTGCAAGTAGGGTAGTACAAGCCTTATATGATTGGGTGAGGGTATGTAACCTTTGAATTTACTGGTTGGGGATTACAGTTATCATTTTGGGCAGGCCTGGACAAGTCTCAGGCTCTGTCCTTGAGCTGCCATGGGGGCTGGCTGGCCTTGCACGTACTGACTGTGGGGGCTGACTCAGTAGCCCAGGCTTCGTCCTTGAGCTGCCATGGAGGCTGGCTGGCCTTCCACGTTCACATTGACTCATGCACATAGCTCTAAGTTGGTGAGGGGCCCCAGACAGTAAACAACTGGATGAACCTTGAGCAGTCAGGTATGTGCAGAAAGGGAGCTACTGTAAGGACTAAGTCATAGCCCTCCCAGAAGCTGCTTGCTTAAGTCTCGGGAAACTGAAATTGAGGCCTGATCTCTGAGAGAACACTGAGCAGCCTGTTATGGTGTCTGCTTGGTCCTTTCAGTTTTATTTTTTTTAAGCAGCTGAGTTGCTGAATTGAGTTTCAAAAAAAAAAAAGATCATTAATCTGACTTTGGCTTGGAATTAGGGTGAGCTTCCTAACAATTTCTGAAATGGCTCTGAACACATTGGTGTTTTGTGTTACACTGTTAGGTGAATGCCTCCTGGGAAGCCATTCCAGTCCCACATCTACTCACCACAGATACAGTACCAGACATGGTACAGAGCAAAGTCATGATTCTACTCATGTCTAGTTTAGGGAACCCGTGCATTTACTAGACTGACTTACAGGAGCATTCATGAAGGATTACTATCTTACTTAGGGTTCCTATTGTGGTGAAGAGACACCATGACCACCTCAACTTTTATAAAGAAAACATTCAATTGAAGTGGTGGCTTATTATCATCATGGCCGGGGAGCATGGTAACGTGCAGGCAGACATGGTGCTGGAGAGGTAGCTGAAATCCTACATCTTGCAGACAACAGGAAGTAGACTGAGACACTGGGTGGTATCTTGAGCATATATGAGACCTCAAAGCTCACCTCCACAGTGATGTACTTTCTCCAACAAGACCACACCTACTCCAACAAGGCCACACCTTCTGATAGTGTCACTCCAGAAGTAACCACCTCAGTTGCTTCTGGAGGATGGAAGACCCCCCAAACAGTCCCATCATTGAAAGTCTAACCCCAGCATGGACAACTTCTGTGTCCCCGCCTTTAGTTAACCTTCCACATGATACATATTTTAGCCTTTCCTAAGATTGGTTATAGGTGGGTCAAAATTACGTACAGCTGGGAGGGTGTACAGGCAGGAGTCGAGTCTCCCAGGAGGGATTATCAACAGGCCGGATCTTGAGAGTCTCTTATGGGTAGTGATTAAGATGCTGTTGGTTGATATGCCCAGAGGACAGCATTGCACCACATGTGAACAGATGCACCATGGTAGTTTCGGCATTGACCATTACAGAATCAAAACACTGGTCAGCTCTGAAAATGTTCAAGGTGCTCCACATTCTACAGTGTCCACTCTCAGCCAAGATTTAATTCTTTATGTAAAAATAAACAGACACCCATCTCACCAACATGTCAGCTTGCTTTCATTTTTAATGAATGATATATGATATGTATGCTAAAGAATTGTTTTAAAATAAATTTCTTTGTTTATTAATGACCAGTCAATGTGTGATTTGTATTTTTTTTATAACTATATACCCAGGCTGAGGTAAAAATTTCTCAGCTCGAGAGAGTCACAAGCAGAAAAAGTTTGCAAAACCAATTGCTAGAAAGAGCCAAAGGCATGAACCACTGAGGGTGAGAGACAGAAGTCCCCACTCGGGAAGCAGTGCCATCGGGGTCAGCAGAGTCACAGGGGAGCTGAGGGCTTCAGGTTTCCAAGGCTCCTTCCCAACCTTAAACATCCACAGGCTCAAAGCGGGTGATAGAGCAATCGATAATATGCTTAGCGTGCGTGACAGCCTGAGCTAAGTCCCCAGAATCCAGGCTTTTAAGAAAAGCCAGGTGAAGGGCTGGAGAGATGGCTCAGCACTGTTCTTGCAGAGGACCTGAGTTCTGTTCCCAATAGCTACATCAGGTGGCTTACAGCTGCCTGCCGGGAACTCCAGCTCCATGAGCATCTGACACCTGAACTCACATGTGCAAACCCACACACATACTCGTAACTGAAAAACACTAAAAATACATTTTAAAAACAAAAAGGACAGCCACAGCCACAGACACCTATAGTCCCAGCACTGGGTAGATGAAGACAGATCCATGGGGCTTGTTGGCTAGCCTGTCTAGCCAAATCAGTAAGCTCCAGATTCAGTGAGAGAGCCTATCTGAAAATAGAAAATACCAGGTGGAGAGTGACTGAGGAAGACACCTGACAGCATCCTCCGGTCTCTATGGGCATCACACACGTGTCCATGTGCCTGCAAGTGCACATGCACTATACACACAAAAGTTTGCTGCTTCTGGCTCTGGGAATCAATGTGGCCAACACTGGAGAGTGAGAAGAAACTTTTGACGTTTCTTCCCTTGATGGTTGGACCTGGCTTTCTGAGCGGTGACAAGAGGAAGCAGGTGCTGGTGGGGGAGGGGTGTTATGTTTAATTCTTCATCACAACTCAGTACAGAGGTTTAGGTAAACATTGGAACATCACATCCATTGCAAGTGCCCCTTCCTCTACCAGAGACTGAAGCCCTGAGGGCTGCTGAGCAAGCCATCTTCAGGAGCTAGGGCTCACACCTACCTGTTTACATACCTGCCACAGAGAAAGTCACCAAGTGGCAGCTTGACTTTGCCCATTGGCTCCAGGGCATTATAGGAATATTCTGCTCCCAGAGGGAGGTGTGTCACCTACTTAGGACCTGCCAAGGTAGGTGTCAGAGTCTCAACCCAGAAGGAACAGCCAAGCTGACCAAAACCACCTCCACCTAAACCGTGCTGAAGAGAATCCACAGTATAGTGTGTGAGATTTTTTTTTTTTTTTTTTTTTTTTTTGGTTTTTTGAGACAGGGTTTCTCTGTGTAGCTTTGCGCCTTTTCCTGGAACTCACTCTGTAGCCCAGGCTGGCCTCGAACTCACAGAGATCCACCTGCCTCTGCCTCCCGAGTGCCGAGATTAAAGGCGTGCACCACCACCGCCCCGCGTGTGTGAGATTTTGTTCTGAGATCTAGAGCGTCCCAGTCAACAACACGCGGCACCCCCCTGTGTACCTGTCTGTCCTCTACTCACTTGCTTCCTGTGAGCTCAGTACAAGCCACATAGAGGTGACGACAGAGCTGGGAAGCCCCAGAAACCCCTGTTCCACTGTGTCCTCTCCAGCCATGTCTAGATCCTGCATATAAACAGCAACACAGGCAATGCTCCTCTGTACCATGGCCACAAAGCCCTACCAGAATGGAAACATAAGCCTGGACCCAGGGTGTGTTACAATCTCACTGTTTTTCTTTCTGTAACAGGACAAGGTTCTGGTAGTGTCTTTCTGCTCTTCGTCTTCATCATCTTCTTCTTCTTCTTCTTCTTCTTCTTCTTCTTCTTCTTCTTCTTCTTCTCCTCCTCCTCCTCCTCCTCCTCCTCCTCCTTCTTCCTCCTCCTCCTCCTCTTCCTCCTTCTTTTTCCTCCTCTTCTTTCTCACCCCCTCCTCCTTGACCCCTCCTCTTCCTCACCCTCCTCTTTTTTCTCCCCTCTCCCCTCTCTGAGACAGGCTGTCATATCTTCCAAGATGACCTCAAACTCACTATGGAGCTGAGGGTGGTCTTGGATTTCTGACCCTCCAGCTTCCACCTTTGACCTCTGGGATGTCAAGCTTGTGGTAACACCAGACCCCATTTATGTGGCACTAGGGATCAAACCCATGGCTTTGTGCATGCTAGGCAAGCACTCTGCCTCAGCCCCATCTTCCAGCTTTAAAAGGCTAATTAAATTAAAACAAAAACCAGACAGACAACAATAAAAACACGTTCCTGTGAACACCTGGCCTGACATCAGGTTTAGCTATTGTAGGCTGAGCTCTGTCCCTCCCTGAAATACAAATGTAGAGCTCCTATCTGCCATACCAGGCCCCACATCTCAGTGTGGCCAGATTTGGAAAGAGGGCCAAATTGGCAAATATAATTAGCTAAAATAAAGTCATGCTGGTGGACTCTAATTCTATATGGCCAGTAAGTTTACTAAAAAAAGAAATTTGGGGGCTGGAGATTGGTTGCTCTTCTTGAGGACCTGGGTTCAATTCCCAGTACTGACGTGGTGGCTCACAGCCATCTATAATTCCAGGGGATCTGATAATGTCTTCCAGCCTCCACAGGCACCAGGCAAGCATCTAGTCCATATACATATGTGTGCAGGCAAAACACTCATATACATAAAAAAAATTTTAAGAGAAAACTTGGATGCAGATGCACCTCCAGTGAGAACACCACATGAAGATGAAGACAGAGGCACCAGTTACCACTGAATCCCAGGGCAGATTCTCCTTCCCAGCGCTCAGAAGGAAGGTACCATTTAGACACCCCAGGCTTAGATTTTAACCTCTAGAATTGTGAGGAAATACATTTCAGTAGCTCAAGTCACCTATTCTGGAATACTTTGTGATCCCAGTCCTAGCAAATGAATGCCCTTATTTTTAACATTGTCTACCTAACAAACTATAACAAGTTATCAGTGTTTAATATATAATGCATAATGAGAGTAATGTCTTACTACAATACTTATAGTTTGTGTTTAAAAGAACAGAAAAATCCTGCCTGTCAGAAACTCCACTTGTAAATCCTACCTTTTGTTTTGTTTTTGTTAAGTTAAATGCAGCGTAGATCTATGGCCATCCACACAAATATTCAGAAGACAGTTTGACAACATGAACATTTATTTAAACATGAAACAAAATAGTAGGTTCCCACCTAAGGCTTATTTATGACCTCCACAGTCATAGGCTTTTGGCCAGGTTTACAATACCAGACATGAAATTCCTCTTATGGAGAAGGCTGCAGATCCACTCAGAAAGTGGTTAGTTACCATCATAACCACAATGCCACTATTAAACCAAATGGCACAATCTGCCTAATTAGTCAGTATTATATAACACTGGGCAAGATTACTAGTGTCTTCTCTCTCC